GTATGTTATAATAAATTAAATATTACGTAAATTTTACAATTTATTTAGTTATTGAACAATAGATTTTTGAAAACTTTTTTACACAATTAGACAAATTGACTGATAATATGAGTGTCTGTTTCTGCTCTTAACTTCTCTATACAAGTGTGCAAATCATTAGACAAAAGACAAACAAACAGAATATATATTTCAACAAAATCCTAATTATGGTATTATTGAATACTTATATCGAAATGAATAATAAAATTATTAATAAAAATCAAAGTTCACGACCAATAATACGCAACTGAAAGACCACTTGAAACGCGCTTGGTATTATTGATACTTGATACTATTAACCGAAATGCATGAACACATTATCCCTACTCTCAGCAGCTTTTTTCAAGAAAGGCCGGGGATGTGTATACAGTGACGCTATAATACAGCAAAAAAGACAAATAGTCGTTAAGTCATGTAATCATACATGAGATGAGGTGATAACAAACCTATAAACGCGTGGGGAATGAAGTATCGGGTTCTCACAGATCGCTGGCCAACACTAAACGGTTTGGTATCGTATGAAGTGGTGTCCAATTGGTCGCTGTTAGCGTCGGATGAATCTAAATCATTGGATGTGTCGCTGCCCTCAAGACCGCTGTCTTCCCCGCCAATGGACTCTTGCGTGCGTTTCCCGAAATGCATGATATTGTGTCCGCCCCTCCCGAACCGCATTATATTATGACTATGAGCTGCCGCTCTCTTCACTACATCCTCATCCGTACCAAAATTAGCTATCAATTCAATGACCAAATTATTCAATATTCATTTAGTTAATATACAAATAGCAAGAATATTCTATACTTAATATACAATAGAACACTATTGTCTCATGTAATCAAACTTAAGAACCCAATAAAGTGTACAGAATCTGTATTCATGTAAAATTTTCATGTTTTACAAATTAAACCTAAAATACTGCTTATAATCGGAGATTTGTGCTAAAATTCTTGGAGATTCTGCAGTCAATAACCGCTGTGTTTAATTGAAATTTAAATGAACATTTAGTATAATCGATTGTCAATTAGGTTTACACTAATTAACTATTATTTAACGAATTAATAGGAGCTTTGGATCACAATAGCCTCAAATGATGTAAAACTAATTAACCTAAAACCATCAAAAACATTCAAATCTCTAGAAATGATGCACTTATTAAATGTAAAGTATTCCCTTTATGTTAAAGATCCTATCAAATACACGTATTAAATTGATTGTTCAAAGTATCAGTAATTTTGATTATTTCTTAAAAACGTATGAATAGATTTCATTGAAAATTAACAAAATATATTCACACTTTTTTGCACAAATACCAAAATGTATTTCACAAAAATTACTAAATAACTATAAATACTTCATGATTACCATAATAATATTATATCAACACTTTATTAATCGTATGACATTTTAAAGCCAAATTAGTGAATATTATCATTAAAACAGAATTCAAACTAATAATTATGTCATTAAATTTTTATAATTATTTTTAATATCTGTATTTTTTTATAATTTGTGATTAAGTTAAATAGTTTTTTATTTAATAATTTCTTAATATTTCTAAGTTAATAAATATTTAATCATCCAAATGACATTCAATACTTTATTTTTAAATATTAATGTAATTTTCAGCATAAAAATAAAAAAGGCTAAAAGTTTGAGTGAATTTAGTTTGCTATAATAAAATAATTATGTTAGATTTTAGCATTAAAACTAAATTTCAATGGCTTGGAGCAATTCATTAATTACATAAATCAAACCACTGTTGACATATCCTAAACAAACATTCATTCAATTTGGATAATAAATGAATTAAATATTTTAACAAACTTTGAATATGCCTAATATTAATGTCTTAATTAAAATTAACATAAAAATACAAAATTAATTAATGTTTCTTTATTAAACTTATTATTTCAATCTAATAAGTTTAATTAAGTAACCATTTTGAAACTAATATGCTGTATTAATTGTTTATTGTTGTTAAGAAATCGTAAAGAACCAAGAGCATAATCTAATTATAACATTCGTGGACAATTATATTTAATTATAAATAATTAATTATCTAAAGATATTCTTTAAATATACTTATACTATATATAATTATACATTGATAAATTATAAGATTGTATTGTAATTACACTAGGATAATCGTTAATGAATAATTGAATTAGAACTTCTAATTTAAAAATATAGATAAATAGTAAAAAATAGTCACTGATTTGAATTTATCATTTACCAAAAGTAAATCATTAAATGTAAAATATCAACTCGTTTATTATTGTTTTATTAAATTATACTGTATGTTATCTTGTAAATTCAATTCAATTTGCTTTAAGATTATAGAAATAACCAAAAGCTCACTGTTTTTGATTAAATTAAATTACAAATCGATTTGCGTTAAAATGAAAAATATTTCGTGTGTAACTGATTTGAAGTAAATACTTTATAAGTAAAAAGCAAAGAGGTTTAAATGATAATCAGTTAATTTAAGCATATTTTCATATTTTCGTAAGAGATCAAAAGATTAAGTCTTTTGGGAAATGTATTTAAAGTTAGGTTTGGATTTAAAATGAATTATATATTATTCAAAATCAAAATGATTTAAATTTAGAATTTTAACAATTATTCTGTTATTAACAAGTAAGAATAAATAAAAATAAATAAAATAAAGGTGTTATGTTTGACGCAAAGTCAGGGTATTATATAATACATAGAAATAACAGACAAATGTATTGATGACCTTTGCGTTGGAGTACAGTATAGACTGACAATATCTTTGATAATAGAAATGGCAGGGAATGGTAGGGAATGGTAGGGAACAGATGAGAGAAGTTTAAGTAACAGGAAATCCTTAGCTCTGAATAATTAATTTAGTGTTAAATTGTTGAACAATAATGAGACGAAACTTCTATTACAGCATATAGTCAACTGTTTTATTGTATAGGTTTTAATGGTCTCTCAACAAAAAAATGTTTTTAATTCAATAATGCTATCTATAATTGAATTGAATTTTTATTAATTACAAATAAATATGCGAAAGGATATTTAATTTTTTGTTTCGTATTTAACGATTTAAATGGAAATTAAAATTGATTTCTAAAATGATTGCATTTATACCTAAGGACTGAATCCTAATAAACTAGAAATTAAGATGGATTTTAGGAATAGGATTAGAATAACAACAACAAAATCAACACAAATAAGTAAAACTAAATCCTTATGTCTTTGTGAGTGAACTCTGTGTTCAAACATATTTGCAAAGACAATGTTTTTGAAATAAAATTGATTTTATCCATATATTTGACTTTGTTTTTGTTGTTTGGGTTGACAAACAAAAAAGGTTCCGGTTCAATTTTAATTGAATTAAATATAATTTCTGTCACTAAAAAACATAACTAGTTAATCGACAATATTACTTTTAAAAATACACTGTATTAAGTAACATAATAATATTATTATATAGTATATTAAACTGAACTTTGTCTGTAAATTTTATATGACTTTTGTTTTACTTTTTGTTGTATAAAATATAAATGATAGAAAATTGAAAACATGTTTTTGAGAAGTGTTTAGCGATTGATGGTACAAATGGTTAGTAATGGACTCACAATTGTGTTGTGCGACGGCTAATGAAGTAAAGATCAAAGTGATCACAAAGTAATAGCAATTTAGGAATAGGATTAGAATAACAACAACAAAATCAACACAAATAAGTAAAACTAAATCCTTATGTCTTTGTGAGTGAACTCTGTGTTCAAACATATTTGCAAAGACAATGTTTTTGAAATAAAATTCATTTTATCCATATATTTGACTTTGTTTTTGTCTTTTGGGTTGACAAACAAAAAAGGTTCCGGTTGATTTTAATTGAATTAAATATAATTTCTGTCACTAATTTAAAACATAGCTAGTTAATCGACAATATTACTTTTAAAAATACACTGTATTAAGTAACATAATAATATTATTATATAGTATATTATACTGAACTTTATCTGTAAATTTTATTTGACTTTTGTTTGACTTTTGTTGTATAAAATATAAATGATTGAAAATTGAAAACATGTTTTTGAGAAGTGTTTAGCGATTGATGGTACAAATGGTTAGTAATGGACTCACAATTGTGTTGTGCGACGGCTAATGAAGTAAAGATCAAAGTGATCACAAAGTAATAGCAAGAAAATTGAAAACATGTTTTTGAGAAGTGTTTAGCGATTGATGGTACAAATGGTTAGTAATGGACTCACAATTGTGTTGTGCGACGGCTAATGATCATTTCTAGTTTCACTAGTGTTTCATTATCGTTATAACTCCATAGCAAAGTCAGTAAGCGCTCCTAACGTAGAGTCTATATTTTGGTTACCAACTCCAGAAGACATTAATCTAATTACAATTATAGATTCACCACTCTATACGACAAACACATATCATTCAATCCTTCAATTCTTAATCACTTCTTGAAGGCAAGAGTGAGGCTTTGAGTTTAAAACATAATTTGTATATTTTATAGTATATTATTTACTTATTTATTTTGTTTTGTATATTATTATATATATTACAGTATATAAATCTTATACTTCCGGTGATCATATAATCAAAGACATTTTTGAATAAAATATTGGTAAACAACAAATTCCTGCTCAATGTATTTACCACTGTCATTTTATTTATTGCAATAAACAATTATGTAATACGACTACAATTTTATATCCAATTACCAGGAATTAAGTCAGAATTATTGTCTATTCTTATAAGTATTATAAAAGATTTAATATTTATTTAATTGTCGATAAGTTTTTATTGAGACATAGGGTACTGTAATAGAATAAAGCTTTAAAAGTTGTACTACAGTATAGTAGTAACACTAAATTAATTTATTAGTTTTATAGTATTAATGATTTTTAACTTAATTTGTGTGTTAAGTCAATATTTTGCAAAACACATCTCTAGAGATGGTTTTGTTTAACATGAAAGTTGGTTAACATTTTCTGTGAGTTGTTTAATGCAATTAAATTAATTAATTAAACAACAAAATTGCTTTATACTAATTTTGTGGTTCTCACAGTTTATATTTTTATTATAATAATTTCTTTATCAATATACAGAACTTAACTGTACTTATTTGTTAATACACAATTTATGTTATTTTACTGACTAATAATTTTAACATTTATAATATACAGGTAAATTAAAAAATAGGTTTAAAATAATAGATTCTTTAATAATCCTTTTTGCTAAAAGGTTCACTAATATACTTATAATTTGTAGGTGTAAGCAAATTCTTGAATAAAAGAAAATATTGTATTATTAAACTTTACAAGAATATTTTTGTTATCAGATTAATAATTTAAGAATTTGAGTGAGAAATGGAAAATTGAGATCATCAACTATTTATGTCTGAATATTATTTTAGATTCACAAGTAAAGGATACAGATATAGTAAAGTATTTTTAATGTAAAGAAACTTAACAGAATGTGATTCAAATATTCAAGTAAACTATATTACAAGCAGTAACTGGAACAATCGCCATGATTGTAATGAATTACTTATGATAAAACACGAGTACTATTTCAATAGTTTGATCCCTGTTTGCTTTACTTGTAGAAAAATGTCATTTGGATGATTAAATATTTATTAACTTAGAAATATTAAGAAATTATTAAATAAAAAACTATTTAACTTAATCACAAATTATAAAAAAATACAGATATTAAAAATAATTATAAAAATTTAATGGCATAACTATTAGTTTGAATTCTGTTTTAATGATAATATTAACTAATTTGGCTTTAACATGTCATACGATTAATAAAGTGTTGATATAATATTATTATGGTAATCATGAAGTATTTATAGTTATTTAGTAATTTTTGTGAAATACATTTTGTTATTTGTGCAAAAAAGTGTGAATATATTTTGTTAATGTTCAATGAAATCTATTTATACGTTTTTAAGAAATAATCAAAATTACTGATAATTTGAACAATCAACGTGTATTTGATAGGATCTTTAACATAAAGGGAATACTTTACATTTAATAATTGCATCATTTCTAGAGATTTGAATGTTTTTGATGGTTTTAGGTTAATTAGTTTTACATCATTTGAGGCTATTGTGATCCAAAGCTCCTATTAATTCGTTAAATAATAGTTAATTAGTGTAAACCTAA